ATTAATTCCTATAATATCTCTCCTGATAGAAAAGATTGGATATAAATGCCATTAATTAAATATCAACAATTTTATAAATAATATAAATTATTTATAAAAAATTTAGTAGTATAAAATGTATAACTAGAAACAATTTTTATTTTTCATAATAACATTGCATATAGTGCGTAACTTTTTGTAATATTATCCCAGCGACATGGTAGTAATAAATACAAGTTGGAGAGATAAATATATTACGTTAAAGATCCGTGTAAAAAAGATTTTACGGAATCAGTAGCTTAATTATTTGCGGCGAGGTAAGACGGATTTAGAATCGGAAATGCGTGTGGCTGTGTTTTCGCCTGGCCCGATCCCAGGCGAAGTCGCAGAGTCGGGGGCAGCCTTGGCTAAAAGTAGACGAAGAAAGTATGTATCAACGGGAACTTAGCTAACTATGCACACTTGTGGCACACTACGAGGAAGATACTGTTCAAAGATGCTACACACATAATTTAAAAAATTTTTTTAATTCTATCCACATAAAACTCCACATAAAAAATTTTCTCATTTCTCATTAAAAATTTTTTTTTAATATAAATGCAAAGAAGTTTTTTTATAGCATAGAAATAATGTAAGTTTATGATTTTCACATCAACTACCGGTTGCACAGTCAACATAAGTCATAAAGAATATTTTAAGTGTTGATCTCATATGCCAAGAACTCGTATGCTGTCATCATCCTTTTGAAAAAAGCGTAGAATTTCAATTAGTCAACGCTAAAACGATCAATTTTCCAATAATTGCAATATATACCTTTGCTTGTTAAAAGATGCAAAATTACAGCTTTAAAATTTATTATGATTTTTGTCTTGTTTCCTTTTGTAGTCTACTCTTGATGAAAATTTAATTATTAATTTATTTCGATTAATCGCGCATAATCAATACAGCATAATCTCTTAATTTGACATTAATGTATAATATATATTTAATTATAAATACTTATAATAATAAATCATATAATAACCGCATTCTTGCTGATTTTTGACTCGTTGTTCGAAACAACTCTTTTTTTTTGTAGATTTTTTTCTTATGGTGACATCATCACGTCAAATTAAATGCAAGATATGATCATCGGTCGACAGATGCAACCTTGCCAAATATAATAATAATTTTATTTAGCAAGGTTATTTGCGTAATATTGAGAAAACGTCGACCTTCCATGCGAGAGAAACTTGTTCAAATTTATACGATAACATTTTTTTTTATATTGCTTTATATTTGCACAATAAGAAAAACTGCGTATCTAAATCGAATTTGAAGAAGAATTTGATAAATTGCCTATTGCGTGCCACAACAGCCGAATTAAATTTATCACTAATGAGTTTCCTTCTAGAAACTATTAAGATTTACTATGATCTATTTCCGGCGCTAAGTGTCGAGTGCAAAATGATTATATCTGTTGTCACGCGGTTTTGTATAATTCACAATGATTTCATCGATCGCACAATTCGAATACGATCGCGGATTGCGCGATTTTATCGATGTAATATAGGTACCATAAAAATTTCTCTTTAACAATTTAATATTTAAATAAAAACATTTAAATGTTAAAACACAAGAACATTTAAATGAAAAATCACTATTAATCTTTCTATACGAATATTCCTCTAAACACGATATTCATAATCGTAACGGAGCGCGGTAAGTCAACAATGCATGTACCTATGTATCCGTAATGTATGCGATAATCGCGCGGTAATCGCGTTTCCGCGATTTAATCGATGGCGAACTGAATGGAAACTTCTCACTTTCTTCTCTTTTTTTTTCTCGCTTATCTTTTCTTTAATCCTTGTTCTTGTTCTCGTGTTTATTCGGACAACAATATGGCGCGGCACTATCAAGCTAAACAGCAGTGTTCGTAGTTCGAAACGTTATTGGAAGGATGTAGTCGGATGTAGTCGCTAAAGCTAGCTATCGTTGGGATGTTCGTCGGGACGCATTGGCTAGGCGCCGCGACGCATGCGGCTTGGCCTTAAGACCGGCTCAACTAGCCAAGAACGACATCCTAAGAATAATCGGCTGAAGATGTAAAACCGATGAGTTTACGGAAGATTGGGAGACTATGTAAAATAATTTTGATTGATGAAACGTGAAAAAACGTGGCGCTTATATCGTGTGATTTGTTACAAGAATATTTACAGTGGCTAATTTCGGTCGTTTTCTTATTATAAATGTTTTTGCACGACTTTATATATTTTTCATAATTTGCTATTAGTTTTTTCTTAAAAAAGATATAAGAGAATTGGGAAACGTCGATACTTCAGTTAAATTGAGCAAGTAGATTTTTGCATATCAGTCTGTATTACATTAAATTTAATTGACACCGTGACTATCATAATGAAATAATACGAGTCAAAAAACAATTCTATAGTATGAAGATCAAAATTGCGAACGGAGAATGCATGCATATATACTATCGTTTAAAAGTATCTAGATATATAAATGTTAGGAGGCATAAATCAAGATACAAGTATCAGCAAAAATATAATAGAGAGAGAACCTGAATCAATCAAAACGTTATTTAGTAGAAAACGTATTATTAAAAAAAATTGTTAGAAGATATAAATTAATTTTGTATATCTTAAATGTGTTTATAAAGAGTTCATATAAATATTGCATTTATAATAGTATATTATAACGATTTCGAAACAAAAATCGTACACCATATTTTTAAACGTGTAATTATTACATTATTTTATGCTAATTTATATATATATTTTTTCAGATAACCAGTTTAAAGAAGAAGAGAATTCTATGACTGCAATTGGAAAAAAAAACAATTGCATTATGCAGATGCAGCAATGTATCTTTGGAAAAAATATAATCATAGAATGATCATATTAAATAGATTATATTAAACAGTGTAACGTTTCTTTACTGTTATTTTTTTCTATTTTTATCTCGAAGAAAATTATAGCTTGTCTCAGTTATTAAACAAAAATAATCTGTATATATATAATTCATAAGAAAATTTTCATAATTTATATGCGTTAATGCGAACAGTTTACCAGAGTATTAATGACATCGACTATTATGGCACATTATATTATATAAACATTATAGATACGTCATTTCTTGTACCGCATATGTGTTACGCAGTATGTTGTAATACACTATTTAGAAGCAAAGTTCGATTCTGTTTTAGGCATCATATTTATATTTAGCACGTATTCGATTGGCATCAGATGCATCCTGCGATCGGCCAGCGAACTGTGTATCAATGACACTAATTGTAAATAACTTTTTACAATAAGTATGTATATGATTTTTACATAAATTTCTGCCTATATATAACATTTTATAATGTGTGCAACAATTATGTATTGTAATTAAAAAAAAATGTATAATACGTCTTTTTTATAAGTAATTTATTTAATTATTAATCAATAATGAAAACAATATATTAAAAAAAAAATTAGAATAGAATTTTGAAGAGAACTTGCACCAAAATGTAATTTTACGAAGTAATATATAATAATAAATATTTTTTCATTAAAGTATGAAGCTTTTTTTCATTAAAGTATGAGCTTAATTATTCTCATTTTTCCCAATCATAAGTCATTCTAAATTTATCTCTTATACGGTACACGTGTGTCGATATCGTGATAATATATTTCCTTGCGTTTTGCGCGCATGCGTTTATTATATATATACGAGAACGAACGTTCTTGCATGACGTTTGCGTTATACGAGAGATACGGTTTCACAAGTTTCAGTAATACATTGCTACGATTAATTCGTGCTATTGAGGAACGTAATTCTGCGCGTATCTTCCCAATCGAATTAATATAATTATTCCTCTCTCTCTCTTCGTTCTTCCTTCTCATTTTCTTTCTTTCTCTCTCTTTTTCCTCGTTGACATTTAATGTAAACAAGAATAATTCCGTAAATACCGTACCTCGGGAGAGTGTGCCTCCCAAAGTATAAGCTCATTTCTGTCCAAATAGCAGTATCTACGACAGCTTCTTCTTCGCGAGCTGCGTTCCGCGTGCAAATAAAAATTATGCCACTCGCACATTGACAGTGCAACACACGTGGGATCAAATATAATTACACTACGAAGACGTTATACTTGACGCCACTTGGCAAAACGTCAACATGCACATCGCATGTAAAACGCGATACGTTGTCCGTTTCAAACATTCATAAACGTGCGATTAACATCCATTTATGCCGGTAACGAAAGATGCAATTGTTAGCATCGTGCGCGATGTAACGTCGATGCCGACACGGATATGACTGGATAAATCGGCGCGTAGTGATAGACGACAAAAAGTATGGTAGAGGGGCCATGGACACACATTTCCGTCTGGAATGCATATCGACCTTCCTCGGCCACAACCTTCTTATATTGAGTGTTACACGGCGTCATGTTACGTCATACGATGAATTTGGCGGTGACATAGCGCGATGTGTAATGGTGCAGCAAGAGATCGATGAATATTGATGATTATGGTTAAGTGTCAACGTACATGTGTACGTGATTTAATTTTCGCGATTATAGAAGTCAATTGAAAATTTAAATTCGCTTTAATAATTTTTACAAAATTGTTTCTCGTTATTTTTCGTCTGCACTTTAAGAATATGGCCTTTTAAAACAATCGTTGTTACTGATTTATAATATTACACTTTACTTTAAAATAATTGTATTGTCGTACTAGAATTTCAGTTTCTTTATTTATTGACGAAATGTCTCGTCAATAACTTTATGACCAAAAGATTGATTGTTTATATCATGTTTTGGCAATGATGTAAATTCCACATTGACGCGGGATAAAATAACATTCTTGGAAAATTTTGCCAAAAACTGCAACATATAGTTGCAGTTTGTTGATTTTCATTTGTAAACAAAGTTGCAATTTAGATTTTCTACAATTATATGTCTACATATGTATATAAAAAATCTTTC